GTTGACAGCATGAGCATCACCCCCTCTGTTGAGGTACATGACACACAATCAGTCAACCCCCTCTGTTGAGGTACATGACACACAATCAGTCAACCCCCTCTGTTGAGGTACATGACACACAATCAGTCAGTCTGTTGAGGTACTCAATCAGTCAGCTCACACACTCAAACAACCAACACACCATTCTACATATCTCAGTCAAGAAATAACATGGGGTGTTGTGAACCAATTCTGACCTGGAATATTTACTGTGGTGTGAAATAACATAAATTGTTTTGAAATGAGATACAGGCCTTGAAGAGGGAGAAGACTCAGGTTATCTTACAACCCAAGCAAACATTATACTACTTCAACAGTATAATATGGACATATTTCACAAAGACTTGTACAACCCCATCATAACCACTATTTCTTTGATGTCAAATATTGCCATCTTTGAAACACCTGTACATTCCAACTAAATGTCAAGGGCTAGATCTATAACCCTGCACACACATATTTCCTTGCCGATATTCTGCCAACTGACCATCTATTACCCCTCATCCACCTACAAGTGATGACCTTGTGTTCAGGTGCTCAGGTGCTCAGCAAGCAAGCAGCCCCAATGCTGGGGTCGGGGTGAGGGCTGATCTGTTTCAAATGTCACCCCCACTGCTACTGCTGGCAGGGAGACAAGTGAGGCACAAGGTTACCCTGTGTACCACAGCTTTATAACACCGTAATTTACAGGCATCAATTTCTACACATATCCACAGGTGGATCCAGGAATTTTCAAAAGGATCACCCCCACCCACCCAGCACAATGCAAAACATTAACTTCAATGTGGTCTTTAGTCATTTTCATACCCCTGAACACACACACCCTCGGATCCGCCAATGTATATCTACTCATGTACATTATCAAATGAGAGAATACCTTTCTCCACATCACAGGTAATCCTCTCCCTCATTCTACAACTAATTCAATTTAATAATGTATGCAGGAAACCTAGCTTATAGTCAAGTTTATATCTTACAACATCACTGACACCGACAACTGGATGACTGAATGTTTCTGTACTGAACAGTCTTTCTATTGGACAGGACTCACTTCCCTGACAATCAATCTCCATGACACTGACTACGACCATTACTGCATGCACTGTTGGCAATAACTTAGATATACTACACCCTTTCAGAAACCCCATGTAGATTTGGACTATTTTGTGGACTGAGATTATGAAAAGATCCCTAGGCAGTCTACAAAACTTACACATGTCAAGATTTAACATGTCAAGATTTAAAACAATTTCTGAAACTGAAGAGCTTCTTGTCGCTCCTTTTATTCTGTATTATTAAAAAAACCAATTTAATGAAACAAATTGAATGTTTTCATTTCACGAACAAAACATTAGCTTTATGAAAGAACCTTGATACACAACAACTACTAGCTGGTATTGGTTGAGAGATCTGTAAAGAATGTTCCAGGCTGTTTAAGCAGTCAGTCCTCTATACGTGATGTTCATGTGTGCGTGTGTGTGTGGTTGCATGCATGCGTGCATGCGTGCGTGCATGTGTGATTGTTTGATATAATCAAGTCTGGACCATATAATCCAATGATTGATATCATGAACAACAATCCATGTTGTGGAGATACAAGGATTCAACCTAAGCCTGATCCCCCCCAAACCATCCCCTTACGACTGGTACTGGATGCTGGGTACCTCTTCTATACATGAATCACCACAGGGTCTGTGCAGCATGATAACCCATGGCTGTATCACTATCCACAGGTCTTCCAGTATCTGACATATTCCATTAGCATCCTATCTGCTCCCTGTACAAGAGGTCGGAGACCCACCCAGCCCTATCACCTCCAAGCCTCACAGCTCGGCCCTAATGTCTCCCAGTGTAAACTGTTTGGTTTACACATTCAATACACAGTGGCATCCAGTTACCATCACATTTCACCTCCCAAACAACTTTGCCCTGGTAGTATGCTTAGACTATGTATTGAAAACATATACTTCTTTATCAGAAACTAAACATACACAGAAATATTGACAATAAACATACAAGGCTTGGTCCAGTGATTGTTTATCTTACAAAGTGTGTGTATGAAGTTTATTGCTACTTTACCAGTATGTTCTACATCTCAGCATGAGGGAAGGAAGCCCAAAGTGATCAGGGTCCTAGGCTTTGCTAGGGCAGTGAATATGGTTGTATGATGCTTTTAGCAATATTCCTGATATCTCATGGCGAAGGACACCAAAAGTGGGCTTCAAACATTGTATACCCATGTGGGGAATCAAACTCTGGTCTTCAGCGTAATGAGTGAACGCTGTAATCGCTGGGCTACTCCACCCCATTACCCTTCATTGTTAAAACCTACAAGCATGAGTGTGGTGCTGACCAACCTAGAAACCTGATTGAACCAGATTCAAACTCACAATCAAAAATCTGTTACTGCTTCCTGCTGTCACTTATCTGACGCATTGTAAACCCAAAACTGTATATTGAAATATTTATTAATTATTCAGTGATTTTGTGTGGCCATTCACTGATTTCACAATTCAGCTAAGTCCATACCTATTTCTGTGTTAATCTTTACATTTCAAATTGGCCATGCCATAACAAGTGGTATTACTTGATGACATCTAATAATGCAAATGCAATATCACACTGCATTATTATACATATCTGTACAAGGCACTTATCAAACTTTAGCCCAGGAATAGGTATAACTAGTCTGTCATCCAGACCCTGAAGTAAATATATCCAAGAAAGCCCACGCAAGTCTAGAAAATGGGGCAAGTCTAGATTTCCACAGGAAATGAAGAAAGTGTCAGGGCTCCTTTTCATTATATTTATTTTTTTGACAATGAGCTTTTTTTCTGTAAAATATGTTGACTAGTTATTAGTCTAAAGTGTAACTAATATTACCTCAACTTGCCACATATGTTCCTTATCACATAATTCAAACATTTTCATGTCATAACACTTCAGCACTTCAACAACCTCTTAATATTGAAAAGCTTCTCATTTAAAGTGTGAGACTAATTTTCAGTTCACTTTCCAAACTACAGTTACTGCAAAATTTCCTTCTTCCTGTTCAACCTATGGACTGACAGTTTCTGGTTGTCTCCTTCATTCAGTTCCCATCTAACCTTGCCATCTCCTACTCTAGAGCATGTTAACATCCTCCACATCTGCCTCACTGGGTACGGCTGCTCACAATCAGCAGCCCTCCCTAACCATTAGACTCCACTGCAGTAAGGTTGTACACATGCCATGGCAGACTTGCACAAGTCTCAAGACAATAATTATTAGTTAAAATCAAAATCCCTAGATTATATACATAATAAAAACAAGTTGTCCCTATCAGAGACTAATGTATGCAGACTGTCCTCATATCCAAACTTGCCTATTATAAGGATAGGTTCTATTGACTTCTGACTCCGGACAGCCTTGCAGCAAGGCTATATTAGCCTTTACTTCAGCCAGGCTGTACACAAGCCATGGTAACTGGCTACAGATGAAGGGAATGCTGCCAAATCCCCTCAAACTTGCTGTCTCGGACTGTTTAACATTGCTCTGCCAATATTCATACAGTGATTTCCCCAGTGTATGTTTAACACACTCCTGTCTTTCATTGCTGCTTGACCCTTGATCCCCCAAAGCTCACGTTTTTTTTGGATGCCCTAAAACCTGAATGGTATTTATAAATGAAACTATATTGTCATGCTGTTTTTGTGTAAGAATTGACCATAATAACATTACCCTCCCTGACAACGTATTTGTGCTTATGAAATTTTCATTTTCCGCTTCCTGAGAAGTATACATGGATATTAACATGGAAGAGTTCAGTTTTATCTATCCTTACTCCATTAAACGAATTAATTTAGTATTAATATGACAAACTAATTTGTATGACTGCAGGGAATATAATCTGTATCACACACCCTTTAGCCATCTTACTGAACAGTCCATGCAGGATCCCACCCTGATATGAGATTACATGTTACACAATATTACAAAACATTACAGTGTTGTTACATTGTAATGAGGTACGTAATTCAATCCAGATCATAATCTCAGTTATCTGATTATGTCTATTTGATTTATTCATCATTGCACACTGCAGGCAAACAACTGATACCAATACAGGCAAAAAACAGATTTAAAAAAAAAAATTGACAATGAAAATAATTACTTTTCACTTCACATAATACATGAATGAGCATACACTGAAAAAGATATTTACAGTGTACACATGTTCATGTTAAATGATATGTTTATCTTTATGAAACATGTTCCTGAGTTCCCACTGTGAGCAAATTTTGAATTATTGTTTCACACAAGTGTAACGCAACCTAGGACAGAATGTCTGTTTTATTTACACTGCTCTCAATTTGTTAACTAAAAAGTTTATTTTCTCGATTAACTCTTGCGGCATAACTTAACATAAGAAGAGAAGTGAATACGATTGTTTAAATACTGGGGCTATTTGCCAGGTTGCCTCGACATGCATGAAGGGTGCATTAGGTGCACACTGTAGGCCCTTGCAAGCATGTCCTTGTAGACAACACAAGGAATGTCACCTGGGCGTGTACATGGGAGATTCACATAACGGTTTACTGTTGCTTTCAGCCATGTTGTTGCATGTAACACCTGACACTTATCCCGAGTAATGGAATGTGCCAAGGTAAATTGTGGTGACACATCTGTCAGCTGGTTGTGTGATATTATGTGAAGCTATTTAAGCTGTAACAAAAAAATATATTCGAAATTATTTGTAAAAAATTCAATACATAAAAAAATATTTTTAATGCATTTTTAAAAAGTAATTTTTTCTGGTCATTATGATTTTGTCAACTATCTTCATGATTCTACTTCCTTTTTATTAGGTGCATTTTTATTTGAATACTGTTTGAGTTGCAGATCATTTTGGTCAGTGTTATATCTTTTTATTTGATAACAGGGAAAACACACTTTCTGTGGAGAGCTGTCAAATCCATTACCTTTGCAGAAGCAGGTCCAATCTGTTAGGGCAGGATACAATGATATCCTGTGCTTCCTTATGCTTCAATGGCTCAGCAGCTGCATTCCCTATTTTCAGAATGATATCTCCCGCTTGAAGGCCACACTTAGCTGCCAGACTCCCGGGTGTAACCTACAAGTAGGGGGGATGGGTTAGCCATGTGAAATAGGAGCAGTTATGAGAGGAATCCAGCAACCATAAATGGTAGGTTTTCGGAGGTGGGGTGTTACTGGCAGAACTTGCCCACATGTTCCGCTGTGTTCTGATTCCTGTGTGGATGTTATTTATATCTTGCATGGAAACACCGAACAGACTGTACTAGAGTAGATCTACACATTCAAGGTCACACTGGTGTTTCAAGGAAGACCTTGTAATGTTGCATCAATTTACAACTCTGCGAACACTCAGCAGTATATTTCAACATATTTATCCAGCAAACGTAACACAAACTTTAGCAACAGTTGTATAACTTTATTATCTGCGACCCAGCGCGTGACATGCAAGTAACAGATTTATGACATTAATTGTTTGAATAGTACGGGACGACTATCTACACTTCAAAGGAACCGCCTTTCTTGACCCCGAAATGAAAGCTAAACGAGTAGGTGGTTTACTTCGCGTTTAACGGGGTGCATTTGAATTTCAAATAACCAAGGCGTGTGACATTACAGTATATCGCGAGTGTAAAGACCCATAATAGAAACTCGAATTTAAGTGACAGTTGACGAGTGACACGGGATACCAGACGAGAGTAAACAATCGATCTGCACCTACACGTGTGCCAAGAATCACTGATTTAACTTTAACATTAACACCGCACGAACCTGTGACTAGACACCCACCAGAAATGGGATGGGGAGACACAGAGTACATTGTTACAAAAGATGAATAGGGCGTTTTGACGCTTTAGTGGTCATACTTGCACAAAACCGACTCACTCTCATGTCAAAGTTTCAAAATCGTTTCGTTACTCACTCTTTGAATGGTTAAGGGGCACGCATAGTCCTTTCCTCCTTGCATACGAAAGCCCCATGGCGTTCCTCTATCCGTCCTCTCTAGCTTAGCTTCTAGAGTAAGCACGGACATTTTGACAGTTCAGTTGTATCAGCAATTAAAACCTACTGGTGGTATCCTTCGCTCCCTCTCCTTCCCGAATGAAGGCCCGACTACACAACACACGAGCCGGTAAAGTCCACTGACTCAGATTTGCACACGGCACGCAAAACACCTATAAGCTTGGTCGGATAATAGTGGATAATATTGATCAAAATTATATCACTGATCAGATTACGTTAGAGTATCGATTACAGACACCATGCTTAGTACACAATGACATAAATGAGCTAAATTAAATCAAATGGTATTATTTCAAATTCATGAACCAGTTTATAACGAAACTGGAAATCTCCCAAAGGAAAGGGGGGTAACTCCGAGAAACTTCTTGTCACGACAATTCAATACCAGAGACCACAAGACAATCTTTTCATGGTTGCCGACTATACAGAAATGTTAGTCATACAACGCGGATATGTAATTACTTACAACATAAGGAAGTATAATCATATCGGATTTATCAGTCTCGGCATATAGCTTAGTGCTAGTTTTAGTGTGTAATAATAACGCGCCTATCTTATATACATCTGTTTGAAATTGTACACCATAAAACTTTAAAAACGTTTTTCATTGTATAAAACAAGTACACGTACCTGTTTATCTCACACAATTTGTTTGTTTTGTTTTTGAAATTGTATGGTTACTGTATGCACACTGTATTGTCACTGTATGTGTAGTGTGTATGTAAACAGAGTGTCTATGCTGATTAAGTATAGAACATTTTCTGCATATGTTTGAATCTAAAGCTCGCACTTGTAGGGAGGAAACATTTAAAATTAATCCTTATTCGTGTTGTATGAATCATTGTACCACACAGTACTTAAATGTGAATCATTTAAGGAAAAGCTTATAACTAGGAATGATTTTAATTACTTAATACTGAGGCACTGCGCTTCTATGAAAACATACGGTGGATGTCTGTGTGGGCCAAGTGGGGTAATCCAGTTAACCTGCGGCTTGGTGATTCAGTGGGATAGCTCCGGCATTACTAGGGACTAGTGCAAGTAAACACACACGCACACACACGCGCGTGCGCGCAGATAAACACAAACAATAACACACTCAACACATGTGTGAATGTCGCTATTTAAGAGCAATAATGTTGTACATCCCGTTTTCAGTCACCCCACCTCAACTCAACAACTCAAGTCATCTCAACTTTGATAATTGTGATCTTATTCTAATTTCATGGCTTATATCGAAAGTAACAAGCAGTGGCCATAGTACAGTTCATCGGTCGGTGTATCACACCCTGAAGAGGCTCGCGCGGGTGTGAGACAGGACATTTCTCCATTCACAATTTTAAGTCAGCGAAGCTTCTAAATGAATAAACTGACGTTTAAAAGTTAACATTTACAACAGTTGCAGGGACTGTGTAGCTATTACCCATAAATACACGCTAATATCAATATAGGGCGGTGGGGTAGCCTAGTGGTTAAAGCGTTGGCTCGTCACGCCGAAGACCCGGGTTCGATTCCCCACATGGGCACAATGTGTTAAGCCCATTTCTGGTGTCCCCCGCCGTGATATTGCTGGAATATTGCTAAAAGCGGCGTAAAACTAAACTCAGTCAGTCAGTCAGTAATATCAATATACTTGTTGCCCAGCTTCTGGAAGTCAGTTTTAGGGATAGGTTTGGGATGGAGTCTGAACAGAAACACAATTCGACCTTTAAAACATTGAACATGTAACGGACAATAAGATGGGATTCCGATTGAATTTGTAAGAAAACAAACAATCCCATAGCTCTGTTACAATGAAAGGGCGGCGATGCGATTCATATGACTAATATATAAATATAAGACACAAAGAAACAAAAGCCCATGACCCTTAATTTTAGTTGTCTGTCAATGTGTATGACGAACTGGAAGACACCTCTCCTACCGTATATAGACAAGTCTAGTGTTACATTGCGTGTGTATATGTCTGTTTTTGGGTTGTATAACACTAAACAAACTCACACAATGAAACAGTCACGCACTACATTAAACACCTGGCCCGCGTCCACTAATTGTGCTGATGTACCGTACTTGTGACCATAGGCGGATACAGCCCCGGATCAACGACATGGACGGATACAGAGCCGGTGTAGCAGCCGTGGTCTGCTTCCTTCAGTAAACAACAAAAACAAATAATGGCCACGTGTAACAACGTATTGTAGCGACTATGTTCATTCTACATATGCCATTCTACATATAGCCTGTCTCATAGTCCCTGAACCGCACTATTTTCCCTTCCGTCCAGCCCTTTCCGCAATGCTAAAGCCCTAAATGAAGCAAGTCTAGATTTCCTCAGGATCTGAATCTCCAATCTCACTGGGGCTCCTTTTCAATTTAAAAGGAATTAATTGTATATATATTCAGAGACTTAGCTTTAGTCTCTATATGTGCCACAGTCTGTGTGTAGAGCTCTGAACTGTATGAATAACAAATACTAGTTTGTTACACTGAAATGTAGACTTCTTTCTGAAAACAACATACAGCAACATTTTATTAAAATGGGAATGCTGGACGTCCAGTCAATATTATGATGATAAAGTTTCGGTTCCTCTTTCAGAGAAAAAATAATTTATTATCCATTCTAAGATGCCTAGCTGTTAGAACAATCGAAAAAAAAATACATTATGAGACAATAAAGGTATAGTTTTTTGATGACGTAACAATTGAATGACGTTGTCCCGTCACTGCGCCATTCTAGTGTGCCCCCTCGTAATCGAATTATTTTACATTACGTCACAATGTAAGTGACGTCACGATGCATGTCAGTTGTCATCGCCTCGTACGGCCTCCTACAGTAAACTACTCCGTTGCATCCCGTTTCTTGCTTTGCAGTGGCTTCACGCAGCTAACATCACTGGTGGAAACATTACGTTTATTGTTTTCCGACGGTTAAAATGTCTCAATTCGACTCACAAGTTTTCAGCGACACGGTAACGTTCGCAATGTTTACATTCCCACAATGCAATCGTGGAATGTCGCTTGACTACTCCGCTTCATCTGGATGTACTGATCTAAACTTACGTTGGTAGAAGAAATGCGACGTTCATATTGCCCCATATGGTTTACGTCAATGACAGATGTAATTAAAATAATTCAGAGAAGATATTTAATCCGAACGTAAACCGTCATCAAACTGTTATCATTTGTTTTTTTCTGGTAACGTTCGTCTTAACGTAGGGGGGCAGACACATCAATAGAACAGCGCACCAGTTAGCCCTGTGCGAGGATTCTTAATTTAGGTCACCGACACCGTCATTTGTTTTCTGCCTTAAATTAATCGTAATTATCCTTAGAAAGTATTAAATTTAGCATCTTAGAAAGATGTAAAGTTCGCTCTACCCCAATGTGTTTTGTAATAAAGTAGTGGTTTGCCCTGAACTATTATAACATCAAAGCACTCGGACTACCGTCCTCGTGCTTTAATTATAATAGTTCAGGGCAAAACTATACTTTATTACAAAACACATTGGGGTAGAGCGAACTTTATTTCTTAAATACTCATCTATTACTATGACGTCACAATCAAATGACATCACTATTCCTTTGCCATTAAGCTGGTTAGCTACACATTTCACACTCAAGACACTTACTGTAACAAATTTGAAGAATGATGATGTTTGATACATAGAATATTAGTTGTATCTTACCCTCGTGTCATTTGATATCAAATGTATCAAAACTAATTGATAAAACACAAAATAGTTTGATTTTTAGTTGTATTTACGTGTTATCCCTAAAACAGAGGTACCTATAAAGTTAATAAACACCATTTCAAAGCAGATCCCTTGAGTATTAGGAGACATTCAAGTCTCTTAATTTAGGAGATCTGGAGGCTAGGGTGCGTACAGGCAGCTAGATATAAGTGAATGAGTATGGTTTTATGCCACCTGTAGCGATATTCTAGCAGCACCGCGATGTAGAGCTAAACAAATGGCTACAGCTGATTGAAGAGTAGTCTATCACACAGTCCCTGAACCGCATTAATTATTCTTTGGCCCAGCTCTTTCTGCAATGCTAAAACCCTAAGTGAACCCTAGATTTTCTCAGGTCCAGGAATCTCCCTTCTCTTTATCAACTTCGGGCGGTAGGGTAGCCTAGTGGTTAAAGCGTTGGCTCGTCACACCGAAGGCCCGGGTTCGATTCCCCACATGGGTACAATGTGTGAAGCCCATTTCCGGTGTCCGCCGCCGTGATATTGCAGGAATATTGCTAAAAGCGGCGTAAAACCATAATCACTCACTCTTTATCAATTTAAAAGTGACTGTTTGTTTCTATCAAGATTATATATAAAAAGAGACTAAGTGTTAATTTAAGTATGGAATAAATACACATTGTATAGTCTGTGGTCCCGAATACAGACCTGGTGTTAAAGGGTAGTTAAAGCTCGACAGTTACAGTAAGCTTAATGGAAGGTTTAAACTTAACCCTTTTGATTGCCCGCGGGATCCCCTTTTTCTTATTCATAACCATACAGAGGTTACTAGTCACCAACATCTCACCGAAAACATGTTTCAGTTATACATATGGCACTAATCGAACATGTCTATTAGACCATGGAATCCCACCTTAATTCGGTTCATATGGATCCATTAGCAACGAGGTTCATCCTCTTACCATGATGTAACCACCGACAGAGCCAGACTGACGAGCAGGCCCTCAAGGACACTGTCTTCATTAAATGTAGCTTAGACGATTAAGGTAGGATGGAATTAGTTTTTGGTAGCAATACGAAAGTAATATAAAAAGTCCGTTGCGCGTTATCCTCGTCTCTGGTGTGTTCCGATTGCAAAGCAAATTAAGGAAACAATTCTTGAATAGTGTTTCTAAAATAACCTTTGAATGTCATTTAAACGTGATAAATAAAGGGGGTACAATTGTTGATATCAACTTCAGTATTATGATGACCAAGAGGTTTCGGAGTATATTCATACTCCTTCATCAGAGTTTTAGCGTTCATACATCTGATGAAAGAGTAATAATATACCATGAAACTTTGCGTTCCTCATCACAGAAGTTAACATTCATAACCCTACCCCACCCGCACCCACACTTTTAGCTCACCCTAAAGATAATGTGATACTTTGTTTGCATTAAATAACAACACGGTCGAGTGAGTGAGTGACCAACACGACCTCATCTTCCAAGACACGCTGTA